CATTAAGAAAATTAGTAGATAAAGGATTTAAGATTTATTTAGATGATAAGACTTTGAGAGTATTTAGTGAAAATTTAGAAGAAATAATACTAGAAGGAATATATGAACAACCCAACTGGATCTTGAACTTCAAAGTTAAGAATTACATCGACGATAAAAATAAATTAGATTAGGAATACAACGCTTACCGTTGTAAAGCTGTAATGATTCAAGAAGATGACACCGATGAATCAGAAGTAGATTTACAAAGGAAGGAGGGAGATTCAGAAAACGAAGAGGCCAAGGATTCTTCAATTAGGAGGGAGGAAGAAGTTACAACACCTCCAGAAATAGAACAACATCCTGAAAATTCAAATGATGACATGTTTAATTGGGATTCTAGTTTAATAACTAGAAATACAATTAAGCTAGATGACATCGAGAGCATTAAGAATTTAGAAGAGCTATTCACATCAAATCCATTAGAGCAAGGAACAACAGAGTCAAGTAAAATAAATGAAGCTATGCTATGGCATGTAAGACTTGGTCATGCTTCATTAAATTATCTCAAGAAGTTACAGAAAGTATACAGTAAATTAGAAAAAGTTAGATTTGATGATTCAATTCTAGATTGTGAAATATGGATTATGTCAAAGATGCAAAAATTACCATTTAAAGAAGTTAGAAGACGAGCATCAAGACCATTACAAATAGTACATACGGACACGATGGGTCTGATAAAACCAACTTCACACCCAGGACACAAAAGATTTATTAATGTGTATATAGATGATTACTCCAGATTATATGTTAGATTCTGGTTTACCCAAGAGTATGTGGGAGTTAGCAGTAGATGCAGCTGTTCACTCATACAACCGAACACCACATAAATCTATAGATTATGATGTACCATTGATGAAATTTAATAAGAATGAAAATTGTCATTTTGATAAAATTAAAAGATTTGGATGTATTGGATATATTAGAATTGCAAAAACAGAGCACAAGTTCAGCGAGAGAGCAATCAAAGCAGTCATGGTGGGATATAAACCCACAGGATACTTGTTATGGCACCCGAGTACTGGAAAATTTCTAGTCACGACATGTTAGATTCAATGAAAAATTAGTATACAAAGATGTATATAAGAATAAACAAACAGAAGAAACTGAAGATGAAATTAGTTGAAAGTCAGATGAAAATGTACCAAATAATTTAGAAGACAAAATCAACGAAGAAAAGGAGAAACCGGAACAAAGAAAAAGAGGAAGACCCCGTAAAAATCCACTAAATGTTAAAAACTTAAATGAAAAGAAGAATTCATCAGAAGAAATTAGACCATGTACTAGAGGTGAGATGAAAAGAAAATTAGAATCTGAAAAGGATAAAGATAGAAAATTGATTGAAGACATAAGCTTTGCAAAAAGTGTCAACGTGTCTGAAGATCAATCTAAGATGGATGAACAAGAATTAATAAGATGTTTAATTACTTCTTTAAACAAAGAACCTATCAACTATGATGAGGCAAGCAACTCAAGTGAAAGATGTCAATGGATGAAGGCTATCAAAGATGAATTGGACTCAATAACTAAAAATGACGTCTGGGAATTCGTAGATTTGGAAGCAGCAAGTAAAACTGGAGGAAAATTAAATATCATTGATTCAAGATGGGTATTTAAAAAGAAAGTAGAAGTAAATAAAGATGTACTTTATAAAGCATGACTAGTATGTCGAGGTTTTAAAAATAAGAATGATTATGATTTAAAAGATACATATTCGCCAGTATCTAGACTATCACTCATACGAGCATTACTTTCAATAGTAAATAAATATGATCTAGAAATTTGTCAATATGATGTGAAAACGGCATTCCTTTATGAAAATTTAGATGAAGACATTTATATGAAGATACCAGAAGGTCTAGATGTAGATGAAAAGACGAAACAAACAAAGATACTCAAATTAAAGAAATCTTTGTATGGATTAAAAGTAAGTCCTAAGAAGTGGAATATCAAATTCAATCAAGTAGTAAAAGAAATTGGTCTAGAAAATGACTTACATGAACCATGTTTATACACTTGGAGGAAAAATGGAATTGTAGCTGTACTGCTAATTGATGTAGATGACATTTTAGCTGCTAGCAATGATCCAAAGAAGTTAGATGAAATTGGAAACCATTTATGCAAGAATTTTGAGATGAAAGTTCTTGGTGAACTCAAGAAATTTCTTGGAATTGAGATAGAAAGAAATAGAGAAGAGAAATACATCGTATTAAATCAAAGTAGTTATATAGAAAGCATTTTAGACAGATTTAAGATGACTGACTGTAACCCGCAGAATACCCCAATGGTTACTAGACAAGCTGAAAATAGAAGTAAAAGAAGAAAATTGGAAGAGTTAGAATCATCTGAACGTGAACAATCATCAATCACTAGAAAAGCTCCATACAGAGAGGCAATTGGAAGTCTTATGTACTTAGCAAATGGAACTAGACCAGATATTTCTTTTGCTGTACATTACTTAGCTAGAAAACAACTAAGTGATACCGAAGATAACTGGAAAGATGTTAAAAGAATTTTGAGATATTTGAAAGGTACAGTAAATTTAAACCTGAAATATACAGGTAACGCAGATGACTTAGAAGCTTTCTCAGATGCTAGTTTTAGAGATAATGATGACTCCACGTCATGAGGAGGATATATTATTAGACTTTTTGGTGACGTAATTGCTTGGAAAATTCACAAACAAAATTACGTTACATTGTCAACTTGTCAAGCAGAATATTTGGCAATGAGTGATGCTTGTCAAGAGATAATATCTCTAGATAAAGCAATTAGATTTGTAATTGGAAAGACACTATTTCCTACTATTATTTGGTGTGATAACAAGTCAGCAGACGACTGCACTAAAAAGGATGGAAAGTCATAAACTTAAGATGTTCGATAATAGCGTAAATAAAATTAGATTAGAATTACTAGAACGAGAGAATACAGGTAGTAGAAAACACATGGCACAAACCCATGGTGATTTCATTAAACAATGTGTTAATGAAAATAGAATAAGAGTTTGTTGGATTTCTACAAAAGAAAATTTGGCTGATATACTAACTAAGCCACTACCTGCAGAACCTTTTAGATACTTAAGAGATAAATTATTAGATTAAATAATTAGAAGTATATTAGAAGGTATTTAGAATTAATTATAATTATTATTTCATTATGTTACAGAAAAACCTACTGACAAAAAGAAGTAGAGCAGTGGAAGCTGGAAACAAGAAAATGGAGGGAGTGTTAAGAGTGCAAGATTTTCTTGTTCAGTAACTTAATTATTTAAGTCTTTATTATACTTTATATTTGTATTTGCCGCTCAAAGCAACAACTAAATTATTATTATTATTTGTACTGAGATAGCGTCGGTCTACGCGCAGCATAGCTGCGCATACGACTCACTCTCCGGCTTGCTCGCTGTGGCTTGCACATCTTGTTGCTTGGATGCTTGACTAATCTCGTGCTACTACGTAGTTACGACTCAAGTACTTTTCTTAATATTGTTAACATTATAATACGTATATTATTAGATATCTAAGATTGTTTAGAAGTGTTTTATATTTATTAGAAGATTAAATAAACCTAGATTCAGTTTTAATTAAAACCTTGTGTTTCACTTTTATTTATAAACCCGACAATAATATGTGTAATAAAGTGCTTTATCTTTAATCGTACAAGGCACGTCTGCTCTACTGAGTATATTACTTATAACTGACTTTACAATATAACTTATTACTGATCCCACCCCACGACAGTATGCATCCCTCCCTTATCATAATTATTCCCAACATAATTATTTGAATACTCGCAATAAAAGAAAATTCAATCAGATATGATTTTAGAATCCATGTTGTATCACATTTTCTGTTTCAAAGTATTTGATTATGTAATTTATATTTTTTTCTTAAAAACATGGTATACAGTCTGATATCGGTAATTCAGTCTGGACCAGTGACAAAAAATGATAATTTAATATATCGGTTTGTTTATTTGAACCACATGTAAAATGCACTGAAGGAGATTACCAGACTTTGTAAATACTCTAACCACTGCTTAAAAAAATTCAACTAGATAATTTACTTTTAGCACTCTCTTGCGGCCTACATGAAGATATATAGTAAATTAAATTTTTTGTTGACAATTAGTTTTTTACCCTAACCTAGCTGCATTTTAATAATTATATCTTATAAGTCATATAAACTAAAATAAGAAAAAACCAAAAAATTAAATCAGTCTCAAAGATTATATTGGTTGTAAGTTTATTAGCAATTTCTTTATAGTTAAGCTTGTCTACTTAAATATGTGATGACTCCTGAGATAAGGCAGTTTTACGCACGAACTCTACCTGTTTATTTATCATTTTTTTTTAATGATTAAATTCAAAAATAAAAGAATCAATTCAGGAAGACTTCTATTTACGTACTCCTGCAAAGTTTCATGATTTTTTATTCGGTCGAAAAGTGTCCCAGCATCATGTTCAAAATTTAAATATTCACCTGTCCTACTTGTCCTACATGTTCTTAAATAAAAAAATTTACTTCAGTATACATCCGGAAGTACTAGCTTGCTCTTGATTCAGATTCCGTAATGAAATTCAAGTTCAATTTTGAAAAATCACTGCTCATAGGAAAAAATATCCAAATTGTAATGAGAGAAATTATTCATAATTCACAGTTAATACTTCACCAAAAGACACGTGTTAATTATTTATTTTATTTATTTAATATAAAGGAAAATATACAATATACAATATACAGAGTTTGAGATACTGTAGTTCTTTTCCTACAATAAATTAATAGATGTAAGCATCAATGTCTAGTAAATAGTGCTAAAAGATTGAAGATAAGTCAATGTAATAATTAAGTTAAGCTTAACAGAAAATTTAAAGGCACAGCGTGGTCTTATAACGATTCCGTGTCATGAAGAGTAAGCATTGAAATTGGAGTTGGGGATGCACGAGGTCTTGATTGGGTAGTTTATTGATTCTGATCATTGTCCACCAGTGGGATCGAAGTCAGCAGTTTCTCTCTCAGTACAAGGCTTTCCATCACAAAGTGTGCGAGAGTTTTTGTGCTGCAGGCAGTGTCCAGGGAGAGAATTTGAGCCGTATCTAGATTCAGATCCAGCGTGGTCAGGTATTTATTACGGAGAGATTGATACCTGGGACAGGAGGACAAGAAGTGAGAAGTTGTTTCCAATTCATCAAGCTCACAGACTCGACAGGGAGACCTCGGAGAGAGTCTGTAAGTAATTCCATTGAATGTTATGTTACAGGCATATTTTGTTGCCAATCTAAGCTGGGCCTTGATGTTCAGCGCGTAATAAGGGCAACGTTTGAGGTATTTAGCAGGGCCTTCGTAGGGCCGTTGAATTGGAATTTGGCAGCTATTGGAGTTGCTGTAACGTTTATAATCAGCATCTCGGAGACTTTTGGCGAAGCTTGACACCACCTCCTGCCTTCTAGATTCCCATGTCTCTGAAGAAAGCGAGTTAAACAGACTGTCATATCCACAGGCCTTCAGTAGGCTTTTGAGTGCCGAGACCCAGTTTCCAGGGTATTTGTTCTTCAGCCCATACTGATCTTCGACTCTGGACAGTTCGAGTAGGCGGAGAAAGCAGATCTTGGGCAAACGGTCATCACTTAGTTTTAGTACCTTAGAGGCCCATCTAATTGCAGCGTCTAGGACCTGTACAGCCAGGGGAGAAACTCCCACTTCGAGTCGAACCGCATAGCCTGGAGTGCAAGCTGGGAGCTGCAGGAGCTTCTTGAAGAATTGCACTTGAGCTTTTTCCATTGTATCAGTAAAAGAGAGGCCCCAGATACCAGCCAGATAGAGTAGAGTAGAGCGAACGATGGCATTGTATATTTTTACTTTTCCCGCCCATGAGTCAGCACTCAGTCTAGACAGGATACCAAGAGCGGTCCCAGCAGCACGATTAGTTTTATTGACAGCTTCCTCGGCGGCGCCTCGTCCAGTGGCGGTGGAGTTGAATGGAATTCCAAGATACATGTAGGTATTGGTGACTTCAACTGGGGAGTTCTTGTAGTTAAAGGGTTTCCGAAATTTTTTCCTGAGGCCGCCTTTGGCAAACGGCACTATCTTGGTTTTGGACGTGTTCACCTCTAAGCCATTTTGGTCACAATATTCTCCCAGAATTCGTAGGGCTTTGTGTACGTCCACTAGTCTTCTAGTAAGGATGACAAGGTCATCTGCATATAGAAGTATTGGTAAGTCAACTTTGTTGGTGAGTTGTATGCCAGAGTGGTCACGCCGCCTAAAAAAGGAGACTATATCGGAGATATAGATTACGAATAAGAGGGGGCTGAGAATCTCGCCCTGCAGCACTCCTGTGGTAACGTCTACGGGGTTGGAGAAGTCTCCGTTGACTCGAACGCGCATCTTAGTTTTTGCATATAGATTTTGGATGACTTTTATCATTTTTTCACTGACACCTAAATTATTAAGTTTCACCCAGAGCAAGTCGTGAGGGATTGAGTCGAATGCTCTTCTGCAATCCACGAAAAGCCCAAAACAAGAAGCACCGGGTTGTCTTAAGTGGATTTGCAAAGCAGATTGCAGGACGAACGCGTTGTCATGGCACCCTCTGGACTTCTTAAAGCCAGCTTGCTCCTCGGGTATTAGATTGAGGTTCGTTGCCCACCTCATGAGTCTGTCATTAAGAATAGCTGTGAATACTTTTGCAATACTGTTGACTAGGGCAATACCCCTGTAATTATGTGGGTCGTTCGTGTCACCTTTTTTATGAATCATCGTAAGGATGACTTCAGACCAGGAGTCCGGGGGGACACCTGTCTCAAAGATGTAATTGAACATGGCTTGTAAATATAAGATCGAATTTGAAGGAAGGTGTTTGAGGAATTCATTTGAGACCCCATCGCATCCAGGTGCCTTCCCATTTTTCAGTTTCTTAAGACTTTTGGCCACCTCCTCATATGAAATTGGTAGGTCAAGTTCAGGCGATTCATTGTTGAGGCTGAGGGTCTTGTAGAGCATGGAGCGTGGTGGGTAAACATCATTGTAAAAACTGTTCCAGACTTCAACCGGGAGTGGGGGCACGTAGACAGATATGCGTTTTGCAGAGCGTACCACTGCCCAGAATCTGGAGGTATCATTGACAGCGGCGAAATCATTCGTGATTCTCTTCCTATACTCTTTCTTCTTTTTGTTAGTAACATTGTGAAATATTTTCCTAAGCTGCAGGAACTCATTGTTAGCCTGGGGGTCTGAGAAGTTTAGTCTCCGACAAGTGTTGTGTGTCTGTGATAAGCGAGACTTGAGTTGAGAGCATTCCTTGTCGAACCAAGGTTTATGTTTGTTGGTAATACGTTTACCTTGAGCGTTTCTTAGCATCCCCGAGGTTTCAGTGGCTTGTTGAATAGCGTCAAGGAGATCCTTGTTGAGAGAGTTGGCGTTTGGAGCGGTACTGTTGTACTGTACCAAGGGTGACCATTTCATAACGTTTGTGAATTCGGGAGCGGCTTCTTGGTTCCATTTAGGGCGAGGCGTTGGACGAGAAGGTGCGGTGTGTAGGGCTTGAGGCTGTCTGGCGTTATTAGTTGCGAGTTTGAGCATTATCGGATAGTGGTCCGAGCAGTATAGACTTTGATCAACTCTGAACTCCGTTATTAAGTCGACTCCAGCGAGGTTTACCCAGGCCAAGTCCACAACGCTCAGGCCTTGTGGGCCAAAGAAGGTGAAATTGCCACTTGTGTCGGGCTGACACCTTCCATTAAGCAGCACAAAGCCGTGTTCTTCCATGAAGTTGTTCAGCCGGCTACCTCTCGGGGTAATTTTTTTGTCCATAGATTTTCTAGAAGTGCTAATACGTGTGCTTTCTGTGCACTCTGGGTCAACTTCATTCAGCAACCCCAAGCGGGCGTTGAAATCGCCACCTATGACAAATACATCAAAGACAGTGGATAGCAATATATCATCTAAGACTAGGTTTAGTTCTTCTAATACAGAATCTAGATTACAACTTGGGTTAAAATAAATAGATGCTATGATAACTTTTACCTTATTTAGAGTGACCAAAAAAATTAGCCACCAGCGTGAAGATGATAAAATACGATGCTGCAGGTCATTGTTCATGAGAGAAACTAAGCCACCACTTGGTCGTCCCAGAGTTTTGTCCTTTATAGCTGGAGACCATATTTTATTGAAGGAGTTTAGCGCAGAGGGCAGAGAAGTTTTTCTTTCAGTACGCCAAGTCTCTGAGATGTTGATAATAGTCCCCTCTTTGAAATTTAGTAGAATTTCAGGTTCAGGGAGACCTCGCGCATTCCAAAATACTATTGACGTGTCGGTTTTGGCCAGGTCCAGTTTTTTGAACGAGGCTGCCGATGTTCTGGATTGGGCTTCATTGAGTGTTTGTTGCCAGATAAGCCACGCGAGCCACCGTTATGTGGGATGGTATTAATGTTAGCACCTTGGCGGCATTGCCTGTTTAGTTGCGACTTATTAGAGGAGCAGTTAGGATGAGTGATGTCTTGAACCGATGGTGTGTGGTTCTCATTTCCACGTTGGCCGTTCTGCTGCGTATGCCTAAACGTGAATAGATACGAGGAGTTAGTAGACAGGTAATTAGTCTCTTGGCGACGTTGACTGCTTGATAAGGAGCCACCAAACTCGAATGGAGTTGTGATACACTGAGAAGAAGTGTTATCATTGGACTTACTACTCAAGCTATCTGGAGGAATCTGATGAGAACTTTTGTATACCTCCCAGGCATGCCATGTGCCGTCGATCTGGATAGTGCGATGGCCCTGCTTGACATTTTTTCCAGCTTCTCTCAATCGTTTGGCTTCCAATCTGATTTCATGTGCCATTGCAGCGTCGGCAGGTGTTCTATCGTGGTCAATAAAGACCGAGTTTGGAAGAGCGGAGCGTTTCTTTGTCATGATCTCTTTCTTGATTTGAAGGTCCTTCAAAGTACATCGAATCACGTTGAGATCTTTCCCTAAAAAATCAGCTTGTGTTATTACGTTCTTCTTGTTAAAATGTTGAGCAAACAGCTGGGAAGCCAGGTCCAGGGCTGATGAGGTAGAGGATGTGCGAGCAAGCCCACGAATTATAATATTATTTCTTCTTCTTTGGCTTTCCAATTCGTTGATGGTGGACTTGACCAAGTCGATTTCTAGCTTTCGGAGGTCCGGAAGCAATGTATCCGAGTTGCTTGGTTTTTTCTCGATAGCATGGACCCTGGTCTTAATTTTATTAATCTCTTCTTGTAAATAGGAGGTTTCACAGGCAAGCTCCTCCGAGATCTGGTCTACCCTTGAGGACAGTTTGTCTGTTTCTCTTGTAATCTGTGCGAGGACTTCGGCCTTGAATTTGGCTGTGTCCTGTTTGTCTTCTTCCCTCCATATCATAAGCTGTTTTAATAGATCCTGGAGTGAATTAACTACCGGGATAGAGTGCTGGAAGAGAGTCTCAGCTGTTCGAGCAGGCATGGATTGATCATGAGGACCAATCGGAAGCTGTGGCTGGTTAAGGTTTGTGTTTTTTTTTGTGACTCGGAAGGCATCGTGGCCGCCTTCTGGCTCTTTTCTTTTTGTAAATTTAGTAAGCGTCGTTTGTGACTTGTCAATACTCTTTGCGAGAAGTTCCGCGTTGGTTGGTCTGCCTATGTGGGCCTTGGTAGATATACCCTGAGATATTGGTTGAGAGCCAGAGATTGTGGTATCCACCACTGTAATATTTAATTCAGAGTCCGTGTCGCTAAATTCCTCGGAGATGTCAATCTGCTGTGAGGAGAGGTTATTGTCAATCATAACGGGGTAAGAATCTTCTTGGGTTTGGTGTTTGTTGTTATTGTTGTTGTAGTCACCTGACAGTAGCTGAGCGCCATCTGCAGAGTGAATAAGAATTTCGGGAGTTTGTGTAGTTTCAGCCATTCTTGATGGTAATTGACCGACGGAGATTGAGAAGTTTAAATCAATGAGCACTGGTTTTTACGTCACTTAACCTCACTTTGTATAGCGTGGGTAGCTCGTATTTTTTAAGGAAAATTACAATAAAAATGATATTGACACCCAAGATTAGTTGTTCAGCGACAGCAGAAAAATATTTTGCAATAATGGGGACACTTTTGGAATTTAAATATAGGCGAATATAAATGGTATTACTTCAGACATTCAACACGACAACACACACGAGGCGCACAGCACCACAGCTAAAGCCGAACTCTCAAGCTAATCCAATTAAGTAATCACTAATAAATTAAAAAAAAATTATGAGCGACCTATTAAAATTCACATTTTGAACTTAAACTTTCAGGAAAACCTTTTTTGTTTGTGGTCTATAAAATTATACTGTGACGAGAAAAAAAATTAAAAAAAAAAAAAATTCAATTTTTGACGATTTTTGAAATTTAAAAAAATTTGGAGCGATCTCTTAAAAATTTTTTTAAGCTGTCCTTTGGAGAGAGCTCTTAAAACATAAAAAACTAACATTTTTTCACTCGAGACTCAAAAAAAAAAGTCGGTTTTTTTGCGCCACCCTAATACCCAATGATATCACCGTGATTTTTTTTTAGCGCCTGCGCACTTAGCATTATCATATAACCATGAACAGGTTCGATCTTGGTGTTACAAATCTAAACGGACAAACATACGTTTTGTACACAATTTTTACATACCTTGTAATTTCAATAATTATAACGGCTATAAAACATATTGTTACATAGCACAAAATATAAATGTTCACGCACTAATTAATAGACCGATTATATTTTTTTTTTTAATTTTCAATATACTGATTATTGACTATAATTCACATATTGTAAACAGCCTTTCACGTGCAGGCGCTAGAAAGAAAATGGCGCAGATATCACTGGATATAATCAAAGATTCTACTGAGTATAATCCAGATATCATTCAGCATAATCTGGATTATACCAGCTACTATCTGAAATTTTTTTTCACTACAGATGTCACCAAGTATAATCTGGAATGTTATCCAGTGTAATCTTGTTCTTTCTGTGTAATAGCATTTAAAAAAAAAAAAAAAACGTACTCGCTGGACTTTTCTTATTACTTCACCAAAGTCGTAAGTCGTTCTTTTCACGGCTTTACTGTTATTGAGAATACGTATAATTTCTATCTATCAAACGAGAATGTTCGGTAATACATTAGTTTCAAAACCATCGCAGTGAATCTCTCATCACTCAATAAAAGTTATTAGGTTCTGATGACCAATCTGATAATTTAACCTAGAGTTAAAATTTTATTTTTCACATGTTTTCTTGGCATTTTGAGAAAATAGTTTCTCAACTTATTTCTTACTTGAGATTTTTAACTCACATCGAAATCAATATCATTGAAGTCTTCGGAATTCATTTCCATGTTAGCATCATGATCTTCTGCATTCTCGAGTCTTTCTATGAAACCACTGGCACAGTTTGGGCATGTATAATCCTGAAAATATATTGTGCAAAGTTTTGTTTACTGTTTTTTAAATATTTAAATTTAAGCAAGTTCATACATGATGAAAATATATAGAGATAGTTTCATTCTAACAATTCATGAGGAATGTTAGGATAGTGATATTTTTTATGCAAGTCAATAGATTATGATATCAATTGAGGCATTAAAAGCGTGAATTTTTGGCTGATTTCAAAACATTGAATCAACCAAAAATTTAAAAGTTCTTTAAAAAAGCAACTACGTTGTTAATTTTTCGATAGTGAGATATCGCAAATGAATCAAGCTATTTAATGCTGTTCATAGCAATTGACGGTTTTTTTTAACTTCCCGCTAAGAAAAATTGAAATTTTTTTTTTCAAAGAATAGATTCAGTGAAGCGACTTTAAAATTTTATTTTTAATCTAAAGTAGTTAGTAAAAATTAATCAATTTAAATAGTTTTCTAAATTAATCAGTGCAATATTCTAAAGTCCCACACACACACACACACACATGCACACATAACTGTGAAGAAAAATAAAATTTCCGATTTAGTTGATTAACCATAATAATTTTAAAATTATGGAGAAAAAAAATAAACGACTCGTTTGAAAATTTATAATCTTTTAAATAAATAAATAAATAAATAAACAAGTAATTTTTCAACAATAATATCTTTTAAATAACTAAACCGGTCAAGATATTGTTCATGATACTTGAGACAATTTGCAAGGTTTAAAACTGATGAGTTAATATCCCGAGAAAAAATGTTTCTATATAATCATATATAATCGTATATAATCATATATGATTATATATGATTATATATGGAATCACATATATAATTATATAGAATTATATATAATCATATATAATTATATATAATCATACATGATTATATATGGAATTGTGTATGAGGTTACATATAATTATATATGACTATATATGATACTACGTAGTAGTAAAATCATTATTTATTTTATTATTCAAATAAGTGTTATATTATAATTAAATTCGGTAAGATAAATAAATTATTAATTATGACTATCCAAATATATTATAAATCAATTTTTATATTATATTTATGATAAACTCATATGATACATTAAGTAGATCATAGAATCATTATTGTCTAAAATAGCAGCATAGCAGATAGAAACTTTAAGACGCACGGAGATCACCAAAGTTAAGCAGCATTGAGTAGGGTTAATAGTTGGATGGGTGACCGCTGGTGTTATAGCCATAAAATTAGATCTAGATATTTTTTTTGCATTTTGATCAGTTATACAGAATTGCGTAGGACCATATTAAATACTCTATCCATAAAATTAACCCAATAATTAATTAGATGTAATAAATCTATAATTAAATATTGTTATATATAGTTATATATAATTATACATAATTATATATAATTAGATATGATTACATTTGGCCATTTTTCAAATATAATCATATATAACCAATTTATATATAAATATTTTTTCTCGGGATTATTTAAATAGATCGGCGGAAAATTTAAGTCATTCAGAAAAAACGTTTTTTTGCACGCCTCATAGCACGAAGCGCGTGAGGTTGTGCTTTATACTCGACTCGTTAAGACCAAGCAATTTTGTGATCTTTAAATGCCTCTATCACAACCATATTACACTTATACAATGATATAAGTATATGTACACCGAGAAAACACTTAAATTAAACCATCTGTTATTTTCTAAAATCATTTCATGTTGCTATTTTGAAAAAAAAAACGTTTTGAAAAAAATTTTACGTGGACGTCCGGATTTCACCCCATTTTGGATGTACCAACGATTACTCCCGAACAAATTGATATTTCAAGACCGGATCTTTTTTATTAGTTTAAGAATTCGATGAACTGGGTCCGTATTGCATATCAGTGGCCTAGCTTACGTATTTTTTTTTAAATTGAATTTTTATTAAAATTTACTACGATACAACCGTACAAAGCTAAATGAACTTTCCTTATTTGTCACGTGAAAACTATGGCGCCACTTGATCAAGCTAGATGTTTTTAGACTGCGTGCGCGCGTGACAAGAAGAAAGGGCGCCGATATTAAAAAAAAAAATAAAAAATACTCTGTAAGAAATTACTTAATTATAATTTTTTTTTTTTAATCAATTACACAATTAATTTTTTTCTTAAAAAATGAATGAGCGTTATGAGGCGTGCACTTTTGGATTTTCCAAACTTTTTTTTTTTAATTTCATTTACGAAATTAACGTAAAATTTATCTTATTGATAAATAATTAATGTTTGTTTTGTTTAATTATCAATCATTTTTATACCTTAATAATAAATTAATTGAAAAAATACGACTGAATGAATAAAATAATCGACAATAGAAAAATTAGCAAACCAATACGAGTGCAATTTACTACTCGGTTTTTTAATTCTCTTATTCGGCTGTTATTTCTTACAATAACGTATACCGCAAGAAATAAATTCGCGCGCAATACTTAGTATAATTACCTAGCTAGCTAGCAAATTTTCTAAGTGAGACCGCTTTATTCATAGTTTTTTTTCTAGATATTTTGAAAAGTGCTTATAACTCCTTTTATAAGAACCGCAGTTACTTCTTTGTCGTAAAATAAACGTGAGTGCGTTTCGATGGATCTGAATAGCCTGAATTGTATTTCGGTAGCCTGAATTGTATTTCGGTAGCCTGAATTGTATTTCGGTCTTGTATACGCTTCCTGCGTAACCGTGTGATCTGATTTGAACTCAGTCAGGATAATCCTTGTTATTTTTTATTTTTTTTTTTTGTGAGTAAATAATCATAACAAGTAACTTTAATATTTTTTGTTATACTTTTTGCCACATTTTCCTCAAAATTATTTATTTACTCAATAAATAATATTAAAACTCGATGACACATTCATATGAAAAAATGTTTACATTGTAAAAAATCATAATTATTGGAATAAAAATTATATCATTACAAGCTGTCCAAGTAAGCATTAACTATAAGCTAATTGTGATATAAAAATAATACACTATCAAATTTGACACATCAATCTATGTTGAATTACAAATTTTTCGATTAATAAAATACTTACCGGTAATAAACGTTCAATCTCAATGCTACATTTGTGACAAAAAAATCGGGACATTGAAGTGCCATCCACTACAGCTTCGGCCATCCTTCAATATTTTTTATTGATCATGCAAGACAAACTGAAAATTATTACAATGATCAAAATTAATATTAAAAATAACATATTATAATTATAAATAATATTTTTAGGATCATCATGACAGTTTAACTATTCAAATACTGCGTAGAAAGACATCACTCCAAATACAGGATTTTGTTATGAATTTTCCGAATTATGAACTTACAGGATCAAACATGAAAGGCTTGTACGTGTTACTTTATCCATCAATCAGAAAAATTTTTTTAAATTTGTAACATTTTTGTTCTACATCTAGAATTGATTTTTGTTTAATAAGAAATACCAATAGTAGAAAACACAAGCTATATCACTAACTTATTTGATAGAAGACTTTAAAAATAAGCACAAAAATTAATGGATAATGATTTCATCGAATAATTCGATACAAAATCGAAAATTAAAAAAGAATGCCGATTTTCTATTTATATTCCATCCACTAATGATTTAATACTAGTTATAAACTTTATATAGAACTGTAGAATAATATGATATAAAATACTTACGATAAAATTGACTGCAAACTTTTTAGAGGAACTTTTGTATGAGCATATATATAACATAAGTATGATCAGATGATACAAAAGAAATTTTATATTGTAAAATGTTAGAGTATATAGTTAATTTATCAAGTAAAAATTGAATGCACAAAAAATATCTATTAAAACGGTCGAAAAACTGACATAAATTTATCATTCAGTTTCATACATTGTATGTTCGTTCACTCATTATTAATACGAGTCATTTTTACGTTTCTAGTTTACTTCCTAGTAGTTTCCATAGCTGAACAAGGTTGAATTCTCAAATGTCGTGAACAAAAAAAAACTGGTTGAATAACTTTTTTTTTCTGGTGATTAAAACGGCTCTTTTAGTACTTTTTATTAGTGTTGTATACATTTGTCATATATAATTACTTCATAAACAGAATTAAAAAAAAAAAAGAAAATTTGATTTAATGTAATTTTCTCATAGAATAAATATTTCACTCATTCACTGCATGAACGCTACATTTTGTGTTGAACGCTCTAAAACTTTCTATACACATAGTAAAATCTATATAAAGTTTCGCAGGTTGTGATGCCTCTAGACACATTCGGCAGGTGACACTACCTGTGAGCGAAGTGCGAATTCAAATATAATTTTAAATATTTTATAAATTTATATTGTAACTACATACTTAAAATTGGGTATTTGCATGATTTTGGTATTCATTAACTTTAGATAATTTTACATTCTATATAATTTTTTAAAATTTTTGAAAAAAAAATTTTTCGATTTTGTTCTTAAAAATTTAAATAATTAAATAAATAAAAAAAAGCTGATATTTAAATGAATAGGTTGCTCCATCTCGTGTATGTGACGTCACGATGCTTATTTCATTTGAAATTTTAAGCGCCAATTGCTCTTGTAAGCACGTGGCAGGTGTAAACAGTTGTTGTGCTGAATTGTACTTGATTAAAAAAAGATCTGGTAGTGTTGTTTATAATAAAATAAAAGTATTCAATTACTCGAAATGTCGTCAAAAAACGATTTTTGTTGGTGTATAGTTCCAACGTGTAGAAATACTGGTAAATCGACACCAGAAAAAATTTTTATTAATGTTCCATCAAATTCTGTTAAACGGAAAAATTGGTTAGATGCATGCAGGAATAAAACTCATTATTCATCATCAACTCGGCTTTATTGTTGTGAAGATCATTTTGACGTAAGTATTTATTAAAAATTTCTTATAATAATTACATAAAATTATAACCTAAAATTGTGATTTTCAACCCATTTCATGAATTGATGATGAATTTTATTTATTTTATCTTAAAGTGGATTTGGAAAATTGGTTGGAATGGACAATGGTTGGTGGTAACAAACGGATAAGGAATAATGTTGTGCCTCATAAATTTATTGAGCAATCAAAATCCTCAAGCATGAAAGATGCTCCTTCAATGGATGTAGAACAACTAGGTACTGAAACAATGAATTTAAATATTGCTAAGTTACGGCTGGATCAAATCTCTGGAAGTATAACGGATAATTTAAATTCTGAGTGCACAGACCAATTTAATTTTAATATACAAGAAGATTACGATAAGAATAGATCCAATGTCTGCGATGTCCGCCCTGCTATTGGAAGTCAAAAACTGAATGTTGGTGTCCAAGTCAAGATAAAGAGTTCATACAGGAGTGTAAAAACATTGGATACTTAAGACTACGATATCCTAGATATGTAAAAAATGATGAAAATCCCTGTGGTACAGGAAACGCTATTATTTCAATAGCATAACGATAGCGCTCTAGTAGAGTAAAAAGTAAATTTCTTCTAATTTCATCTAATTGATCTATAAGAACAAAGCCACGTTCTTGTTCTAGCCGCGGATCAACATTAGCTGCCCGACAAAGCATCTGACAAAGTGACCTTGAGCTTTCTAGCTGAGCCGCAATGTGTCTAGTAGCCATCGCGTGAACTTGAAGAGGTGAACAGGCCACATAGGAAGTTGCCGGAGCATTAGTAGCATGTTTCAACAGATACATAGATAATTCCCGTAGGTTAACCGCTACAATATGCTCCTGTCGTGAGGCAGTGCAATTTTCCACTTCTATAAACGGTAGCGCAGAGTCCAGAATTTTGTTACTGCGATTGCTCATCAAGTCACCGAAAGATCCAGTAGCTAAAACTAATCCCCCACTTGGTGACATTGGCGTACTGGATCTGGACAGTACTTCAGGCTGATAACACGCCAAAGACACCAATAATTTTTCAGTTATCTGGCTGAATTTAAATCTGGGCTTGCTTTCGCTTCGTTTTCCAAGATTGTCCCATAATCGTGTCCATAAATCACTTCGGTAGGGTACCAATCGCTGCTGAGGAGACAGCAGCATCACAGATGTGTTCCATAACTTTTCATGACTCAGTGTTATATTAAACTCACCAATTTTAGCGTCATACCCCACGCATTCTTCGACAGTTGTGATAGGAAGGAGAGACAACAGCGGGACTGCATCGGGAAGTAAATTTTTTTGCACCAAAGAGTAAGAATTACCAATTAATATTTCTTGCATGAATTTTACGACATCAAGAGCACGAGGTTTCTCGGCAATTATCGATATAAGTCCAGCAACTATTTCTAGATCGTGTTTGTGGCACATAAAATAATGAATAATTCCCAGTCGTACGTGAACAGAAGACTCTTTCTTAAAAACGTCTATCAAAAAATC